ACATCCCGAATTGCCCTGAAATTGACAAAACATACCAAAACAAGTGCAATACCTTAAAATGTCCAAGATGATAAATATCAATCCTTTTTATTTAAAAATGAGAAATAAAGTATTAAAAGTGTGACAAAACAAGATCATAAATATGGTAAATTAGGAGTACATCACAAAATGACATCGATATATAATAGAATAATTATTATTCATTTATTCAAAAATAAACCGAAGAAAACATGTCGTGTCAATTGTAGAAGATAGCATAGTAATGAAGAAACATAACAACTTAATAAAATCCATTCTAAAATTTAAACGAACTAAGCAACTTCGTAGAGCTCAAGAATCCTACGAAGTATTTCTCAATTTTAATGGCCTTCAACTTTTTATTTGTTGAACTATGTGTAGAAGAGTCAACAAATGCGTCTAGATTTTCATCATCTGGAGATCTCTTTGACATTGAAGGAGAGGGGTTTAAAATCCGTTATTTTCAGTTGAGGATGACATCTACATGCAAACATTTCATTTAATTAGGTTTGGGCAGTCATAACAAATTTGGAAAATTAAACAAAAATTACTTACTATATTTGATTCAACGGTAGCTGGGGTAGTAAAAAGTAAATCGAGATCCTCATCAGAGTTATGGCTATGTTTGGCACACAAAAGGCTCTAGCTTCTAGCTTCTCTATTCTTTAAAAAGACCTTAAAAGACTTTAGTTGTATGTTTGACATGACATTTTTAAGAGCTTTTTAAAAATTAAAAGATCTTTTCTGAGATGCTACCGGGTGTAGCATATGAGAAAAGCTCGTGACTTTTAGTATTAATTAGTCCTAACAGCTTGTATACCAAACCGAACTAAATCAAATAGTCAGCTTTTTACCAAACAGCTATCACCTTTTCTTTTTAAGATCTTTTCAGTCACTAAAAGCTAACAGTTATTAAAAAGCTCGTAAAAGTATCTTTTTAGATAGTTGTGCCAAACATACCCTATAGCCCTGCTCATAAAAAAATATACATGATAGACAAACAGTGTAATTACAAAAGTATAATAATTGAACAAATGTATATGAAGATAAATATATATACATATTAAAAGGAAAGATAATCTAGTGTATATATCTCGATACATAAAAAAACGTCGTTGATATCATTGATTGGACAGCAATAATTATTTCAATTGCTCATAAATAATCTAATATAATACTCACAATTGATTTGTCTTCGAATAATAATTTCATACCCAAGAGGTTTTGATGTGAATATAATATTCCGCCTAAAAATGAATATTTGTTTTATTTTGATCAATGTAAATTATAGAAATCGTACTTGCGTTTCAGATTCATTGGCTCCAATGCCCTTAAGCTCCTCAATTTTATTTTGTTCTGTTGAGATCATGCCAATAGAGTAATTCTTTCCATTTAAGTTAGAGCCTGATCGATTGACGGTCAACTTTAAAGACAAACTCACGACCCACCAAATCCTTTATCTCATATGGCCAACCTGAAGGCGACAATCTCCTGCACATTTAATGGTGGCACACACTCAAGTTACATTTAGATTAGATCGAATATGAGATCACTTAGTGTAAAATAAAGATAGTGTCATATGGGATTACAATATCATAATAATGTGGGGGGAAATCTCTAGCAGCTTTTCCAAACAAACGATTGCATAGAGAGTCCCAGAAGACCAAATTTGCACTGTTGTTGTTATGGCTGGCTTTTAGTTTTAGATGATAGCGCCAAACCCCTTCACCATGACCAACTGGAATCCCACAATTATCACATGATAATTCTCCATTTCCACCATTACTTAGTTTTTTTTATAGCATTGGGCATTTTACAGCCAAGATAAGCCCAAGTAGCTAGAGTAACTTGTTACTGAACTTATTTGACCATAGAACCATTAACTACGAACCTGTTAGTACATAATAATGTACACATTGACTACGTGAGGAAGGGAGCACATTCTGTCTTCAAGCTTTGGTCAATAGATTTATAATTGGATAATCAATAAATAAATAATAGGTAAGTATTAATTGTAAACTTCAAGTACCATAATGTATGTAACATCTTTTTATGATATCAAGTAACCCTCTCCGAACTTATCTGCTAAACTACTTCTCTAAGGCAGATTTTCTACCTCACTTGCATACTAAGTATAATAAGGCCATCGATGTTTTAGTTAATAAGGCCATGTTAAGAAAGCTATTTTATGATGAAAGGCGCTTTATAATAAGCGCCTTTCTTAACTGCCATTTTAAGGCAATGTTAAGAAAGGCGCTTTTTAGCCATCAGGCATTCTGGATTTGTAAAATGGCATGTGAACCTTAAGACGGTTTAAGGTGTAAGCCTCAAGCTTTATATATAACTTTTTTTATAAATTACAATCTAAAACAAACAGAAGAGCTTGTTCAAATGGGAAAATGTATTTTTAAGTCATTCGAGTATTAAGATTGGAAATGAGACAAACTAACATTATATAGCAAATGGAGAAATATTATTTCTTGATGAGTTTTATCGGCCGAAGAGTACTTAGTTTTATGAACTCCTTCATTTTAGTTGCAAGAAAATTTGCATAGGTAATACGATAGTATTATTTTTCAAAACTATTGTGTTACATCAAAACTTAAACTAGGATAACTCTTTATTTTCACCTAATTTTTCAGTTAATCTTAGTTCATTTTGAGCAGTGGCGGATCTAGGCATCCGAGGTCAATGTATGCAAATATACAGTGGCGGACCCAAAAATTTTCTAAAGCAGGGACACTAACACATGGATGAGAACGGGTCGGGTCGGGTCGTATACAACACTGGTCTATTTTATATAGTCCGTTCAAATTATGGAGTATTATTTTAAACCGGAAATATATTATTCAATTTTTGATCGATGATAACATTATATCATCCCTGCAAACAATTAAATCATTTTTATAATTAAAATTTACATATTTGAAATATACATTTTTCCATAGTCTCAAAGTTCAAGTTAAACTATAATAAAAAATTGATTTGTTGGATAAGTAAGTAAAGTGAAACTATATTAATCAATAAATTTGAATTTGTAAATAATTTTGGGTGAGAGGGAATAGTAAAATGGTGACAACTCCGGTACCTTTCTAAAAAATGGGATACCGTACCTACCACCCATTTGATTGGACCACATCACTTTATCATTTTTAATTTAGATTTAAATAACTCAACTGCTACATTCTCATTGGTCCATGTAGACAAAGGTATGGTACCTTATGAGTACCATAGAATCTACCTAGTAAAATTACACCATAGTAACAATAATAATACGAGTAAGACCTTCCAAAAGAAATAATAATACGAGTAAGAACAATAATACACATAAAATAAAAACATGATGTACGGACTGCGGAGTTAGTCTTTAATACTCTGTAACAATATGACTTTAAGTGATACGGAGTAACAATATGACTTTAAGTGATACGGAGTAACAATATGACTTTAAGTGATACGGAGTAACAATATGACTTCAAAGGCAACAAGTGAGTTCCTTGTTGCCTTTGAAAACCTGGGTGAATAGCACTTGAAATCATTGTTCTAAAACTCGCTAGGCGCTAGTCGGGCGGTTGAGGGGCGCCTAGCGCCTAGGCGGCCGACTAGGCCGATTTTTTTTGGCCGACTAGGCTGATTCGGCCTCTACGGTTAGGGCCGACTAGTCCGCCTAGGCCGATTAATCGGTCCGCCTAGGCCGATTTTTAGAACAATGCTTGAAATATACTCCGTATTAAAAAAATGTGTAGCCTTAACGGTAATGCACTTCAAAAAACTAAACAAAGGGTGTAGCCAAGGAGAGTTTCGACCATCCGACGTGAAGCCTGAGAAGGATTTTAAAATCAATGCTATTACCAAATAGGCTAGAAAGGATAATTGAGGTAAAGCCAGTGCTTACCCTACTTAACACGTAGATCCACCCCTGATTTTGAGAACGTCCATATCAAAAGTCATATGAATATCAATCAAAATCATAGCTGAAGTTTTTTTAATTGAAGTGTTAAACTCACGGGGGAAATCTTCTGTGGGCATTCGGGAAATATACAATTATGCGTAGAATTATGAAGTATCTTTACATGAGTGATATAATATTGAATTTAATAGAAGTAATGTTGTATCCACCCCATGTATTTATTAATTTGTTGTTGTGAAATATATTACGCTTTAACACATTCAGGCGTATACAAGAAAGACATATGTAATATATGAATGCAATCACTCCATGCTTATAATAGTTAATTACTATGCAATGACAATTAATAAAAGACGAGGACAATTGTTGGAAAAGGTTGACATCTTCCTCCATCACCGCGTTGCTACGCGCCCAGTTTCAATCTGGTTTGAAGTTTGTGATATGTGACGAAGATGGACGAGCAACCAAGTTTGCTTTGAATATTAAACACAAAGAGGTTTATAACAACTTATAGTTTTCCTTGAGAGCCATGGGCATACATGCATGAATATTTCATCATATAATGTTCTATATTTATTTTCTATTATTTATCTCTTAGTTTGCTATTACTGACATCTTATTTTATTTTATATTTTTAGTTAATTGATTTACTATCAAGTTTTTATACTTTTTATCATTACATATAAACTATAATGTGAATCCTTCACTCTTGTGCAACACACGAGTGGAATATTGTGCGGCCGCATATCAATAGAACATCATTGTTTCTGTTCTGTTGTTAAAATTTAAATCTTTATCTGTTATCTCTAGCTGGATGTATCAATTTTATATATTAAGATAACAAGTTCATATTTTTTTAATACGAAGTATATGTCATCATGAATCAATATTAGTTGAACTCAAACCATGATAATGGCCGTATGAGATTGGAGAATTTTCCAAAATTGAGGTAAGATAATTGTTGGTGGTTTATGAAGTCCGATGCCTTTAGATGTAGAAACCACAAATAGTTTACAATGTGTAGGAATTTGAAACCCGGCATTCATTTTAGAATTAATCCAATGTTTTATATGGAGTATCAATTTTTAAACAAGCTTCAATTACAAAAAATTACAGAAAATTACAAAAAGGTTTTTATACCGAGTTCTAAAACAGGCTTCATTTACAAAAAAAATACATTATGGGTACTTTTATACCAAAACACAAAACCGAGACTCTATTTACTTAAATTAGGCTCTATTTACTACAAATATACTCTATTTACTCGAGCCCAAAAGTTGTACTTGATTGTAACTTCCCACATCTTGATCAACTTCAGTCAATTTCACTTCAAGATAGATGGTAAAATTCAGGAGACTTTTGGGGTCTGCAAAAGTCGGGACGCTTTTGGGACTGCGTCCTTTGAACCAAACATGATTTATATGTAGTGTTCCAAATATATCTTACTCCGTATTATTTAATGGATGAATAACCCAAGTACAACAAGAAGTGACGTTACAATGTACAAAATAACTATTCAAATAAAAAAAATTGAGAACGTAAATCCAATCTTGCAATGAAATGAGCCCAGTCCCAATATTCTCTTGTATTATTACCAAACTTTACTATCCAATTATGGGTAATATCAATTGAGGTTTGATGAAAATTTATGCTTGCCCTTTTACGTGAATGAATATCTCTCTGCAACGGGCAAATTAAAACTCAAAACCTTGCACTACCAAGACACTGAGACACACATAGTAAACCTAATTTGAATTTCTTACATATTAAAAAAGTATTATACAAAGAAATCCTCAATGAATTAAATATTCCACCTGCTAGCAATGGTTTCAACCACCACTCCCCTTCAACTAATAATTTTGTTCCTACCTCGTGAATGCCCGCTCATCCCCACAAAAGACGAACAAGAAACTATGTAGAAATACTTGAGAAGTAATTAAAGTTCAAAAGAAATAAGAAGAACTCACAAGAAAAAACTTGTGGCTACATAAACATGTACATAAATAATGAAATTTCACAATAGCACATGACATGGTTTCTATTGTTCATTTTTCATCATGTCTTGGCGTTGAAAACAAAACTTGCAAATGCACTCGTAACATCCCTGTATAGATATAATATGAAGCATAGATTATTAACCACTACTATGAAATAGACACATAAATAAAAATTAGGTATAAAAGTATCATTCAACTCCAATAGGCCAATCATATCTAAAAATACACACATACATACACATAGACATGAAGAGAGATATTTGGAGTTTAAGTGTAAACCTTAAACTGGTGTTATATGGTTGGTAAAGATTTTGATTTGGTGTGATACTTTTTTATATGTTACTTGGTTTGATTTGAATATTTCAGGATTGGTCTAAATAAAATAAGAATGAGTATGAAGAAGAGAATAAAACCTAAGTGTGCCTCTTATATGAGAGTGATAACTAAGTAGCTAAGGGATGAGCGCAGAATAACTTATTAGTGCATTTGGCTATCAAACTGTACTCTTTCTGTCTCATTTTGTTTGTCTTACTTTCCGTTTTGAATTGTCCCAAAGTGAATGTTATGTTTCCTTATTGGTAGAAATATGTAGTCCAAATCATTTCACTTTATTTTATTCAAAACTCAAACACAACTTTTACTTTACAAACTTTATTAATAAATGCGCCAAACTAAAATAAGACATTCAATATGAGACGGAGTAGTAACAGAGGATTGATAATAGGCATGTAAAGCAAAAAGAAAAAATATGTACTTGAGATAAGGAAGAGTCATGTTCTTCAATAGAGAAGGGTGGCGAATTACAAAGCTCTTCCATTCCTCCTTATCAATTCTGCCATCCATGTCAACATCCATATCTACAAATGTCTGTGAGCCGCATATCACACACGCATAACTAAACACACACATATATACTTTGAATCAAATAAAAAGGTTCATTCTCATGAATAGTAAGAGTGGTACATCTGATGTAAGATCTAATGATTTTAAATTAAATATGTAAAAAATGCATTAAAATGGATAAAAAATACACTGGCATTTTTGTAAATAAATTTAAGTCTTACTTCTTTGTAAAAAGTTAACTTCATGTGTGTAATAGTGTACCGTAAATGATCAAAAGTGGATGACGGAAAACTTCTCAATGCAATAGTGCACCTCAGAATCTCAGATGCTCAAAAGTGCAATCAGTCACATTTTGTATGAGAAGACTACATTTTATTGGAACCAGACCATATATAAGTACATTGAAAGACCGACAAAAGCTGCATTTATAATCCGATTCACGGAAAATTCAATTATTGAAAACTAGCAATTTACACGAGTTTCGTCTCTTCAAGATGAGCAAATTTGATGATTAACTAAATAATATTGATATATATAGTATAAATCTACGTATTATATAAATTCATATAATCATTTCTCTTATTTGATCTATATTACGCACACAACATTGCATATATATGATCGATGATGATGATGATGCATTCTGGCCCGTTAAATAACAAACTTTGAAGCAGCGGCAAATAATGTTTTCTTTATATACTCTAATAGGGGAGTATTAGAGTAATAGTTAAAAAGATCTCATATCATATTTGATACTTCGTAATATTTAAATGATTACAATTCATTCTTGTTTTGTTCATACTTTATCTATTCAATAATTACAAAACTCCACTTTCCTGAATGACCGTGCGACTCCATTTTATTCCAATCTTAGGGGAGAGTTAGTCACACATAATATATAGAACACCCTACCTACCTTGTCAACAATTTCCTCCACAAGATCATCGGATAGTTTTGTCCCAGATTCCAGCAGAATTGCAATCACCATCTCCTTAACCTACACGAAAAAAGAGATTTATCTAATTATCTGTTTTAAGAAAAATATTATTGCGACTTAATTTTTGTATGAAAATAATTTTTCAATATAAATAAATCTTTTTGGTATTGCGTGTTAATGACTTACTTCTTCACGCTCAATGAAGCCGGTTTGCCTGAGGTCGTAAATTCTAAATGCAACTGCAAATTTTCCCAAACTAATAATGACTTAGTGAGGATATATACAATCACACAAAATTCTTTTTAACTTAGAAACATGTTTTTAATGGTTTCATACACTCGATTTTCTCCTCAATTGGTGCGTTGGGATGAAACACGTTTAAGGCATGGATGAATTCCTCAAAATCAATTATCCCATTCCTCTTCTCGTCAAACACATCAAATACCTGGATTTTATATAATGGCTAACAATTGATATTCGGCAAGGGTTATTGGGCTAAAATATCTAAATTTCCTAAAGGAAAGTATAAATAACATCCATCACACCAAATATTTAAGTAAAAAAAAAAACTCATTTTGTAATTATTCTCCTTGTTTGAAGGAAAATAAGCACGAAGGGGCTACCAAACGAAGCCTAGTTAGTTTTAGTTACTAATGGGCCAAAAGTCGAATTACCGAAAGTCCGTTTATAAAAAAAATGACTTTTTGCCACTTTAAGCCATTCGATTATTAGACAGTTTTGATACTCGATTATGATTTTTTCCACTTTAATTTCAGTCATTCGACTACCGTTTGAAATTCACTTTGGAACCCATGTTTGTAATTTTCCATATTTGGTCCTCAAGTTTCATAAGAGTAACACTTTTGATTTTTCTACTATTATCATGTTATAGTGACATTTTTAGTCACTCACTTATTGTTTAAGAGTTATAATAGGACAAAAATGTCACAGACGCAAAAAGCTCTCGATTAAAAGTGACAAAATCTCCCTAAATTTAGTCATGTAATTTGACTTCTAATACATTCTTCAATTGAGAATATGCTAAAGTGAGGTTGTTTAGAATGCAACCAAAAAATGACTTTAAGAATGTGAAGTTATTAGAAGTTGAATAAAAGTATGAGTTATCACATTAGAAAGCAAATTATGAGTTACCAAATTAAAAGAATGAGGTTGTTTAGAAAGCATCCAATTGAATAAAAATATGAGTTACCAAATTATCAACTTTGGCTAAGTCAACTTGAGAAACGTTCAGCAAAATTAGTTCGAGGTAGAAAAACTTAAAACAAATGGGTTTTCAATTTTTAAAAGGACAATTTGATATCCATTTTTCCAATACCAAATCGAAGGTTTGGTTTAAGCATATAATTGGATTTCTCTCTTTGAATCTCTAAATTTCCCTCAGATTTGTAATAGTAGTACACTGGTACTAGCTTTTAAGAAGCAGAATAAAGATTATTGCTTTTTTGGAAGAAATAGGCTTAAATTGATAGCACATTCAGATAGTAGGTAGTCCGACAAAAAGATTCATGACAACCGTCGTCCCGCAAACTAGACTCAGAATTAATCACCTTCAAAGAAGCAATATAAATCGTTGATCCATTAATGAGCATAATTGAGCCAAAGACGGTTACCACAATCCTCCCATCACCCAAATTCAAATCAATCGTCATACAAAAAGGAACAACTTAATATAGGCATATATATATATATATATATATATATATATAGGGAACTCTTCCGATAAGGTATACCTTACCGGAGCCGCCGTGCGGCCTCCACGTTTTGAGGGCCTTCCCGGTGGAATTCTTCGATGAAAATTTTTAAGCATGTTCTTCATCAAGTCTAGTCCATCCATACCAAATTTCAGCAAAACATTCAATCGGGAAGGCAGTCAAATGATTTTTAGAAGATAACTGCACCCTTTATATACATATAAAACGCAGTTATCTTCCAAAAATCGTTTGACTGCCTTCCCGATTGAATTTTTTGCTGAAATTTGGTATGGATGTACTAGACTTGATGAAGAACATGCTCAAAAAATTGCATCGAAAAATTCCACCGGGAAGGCTCTCAAAACGCGGAGGCCGCACGGCGGCTCCAGTAAGGTATACCTTACCGGAAGTTTTTCCTATATATATATATATATATATATATATATAGAGAGAGAGAAATCATCTCATCAGGCCGGCCTGACGGGCTGCCCCGTCCGGCCGAGCCCGTTTGAGCACCTTCCCGGTGGAATTTTTTGATGAAATTATTTGAGCATGTTCCTCATCAAGTCTAGTTTGTCCATACCAAATTTCAGCTCAAAATTCGATCGGGAAGGTCGTCAAATGATTTTTGCAAGTTAACTGGTCTGGAAAATACATATTCCGGACCAGTTAACTTGCAAAAATCATTTGACGACCTTCCCGATCGAATTTTGAGCTGAAATTTGGTATGGACAAACTAGACTTGATGAGGAACATGCTCAAAAAATTTCATCAAAAAATTCCACCGGGAAGGTGCTCAAACGGGCTCGGCCGGATGGGGCAGCCCGTCAGGCCGGCCTGATGAGAAGAGCACTCTATATATATATATATATATCTAATAATCTAAGTAATAATGATAAGAACAAGTAGTTCATTTACCCGATCCAGAAAGAGGTTCTTCCCAAATGGTGTATGGAAAAGTGCTAGCTGAAACTCTTCCTATTAAACCATCACGATTAAGAAAATACCATCATAGCACTCATAAAATTTGTACAAAAAGTTACAATTAATTATTGTAAGGTGTTAGAGACCGTATAATCAAGCTCATTCCATCGATTCATGTTGGGGTTGTTTTACTCTCTATAAATATAATATACGCTCTCTCCTTATAATCATCATCAGAAAATAATAATAACATCCTGGTCTGGTAGCGCCCCCAGACGTAGTCATTCTTGGCGAACTGGGTTACCATATTCTCGTGTCTTTCTTATTGTTTTCGTATTGTGCGTAATGTTAATCCTAACAATTATCCCATTTTTTTAACAAATTTCTTTTATAAGTTTAAATTAATAATAATACGCAGAAGTCGAAAAATTCACTTGCAAGACTGAAAAGTTGTGGATCTTTTACCTTATGAATCAAACCATCCTTGATTAGAGAGCAACTCAGCTTCTTATACAGCTCGTATAATGTTTCCACTTCGTTCAACGTAACTGCAACATAAATTTGGAGACACATCGAGAGGACAAATCAACATCCAAACTTCACAAAAATCACAAATTAATGTGAATGAATCTCTTGTTTTATGTTGGCAATAACTGGTCTATAAAGCAAACAAAATATAATTAAGGCGGAGGAGTGATATATGGTAAATTGTATTCCCTTCGATCTTCCCATAAAATTTTTCCCGGTTTCACTTTGATTGGAGTTTAGCAAATTGAGAATCAGGTGAAAATGTACGATTTGGTTGAATATGAAAAATGTAAATGAATGTTAGTCACACAAAACTTCTAAAAAGAAAATGAAAAAAAAATTGGGACATCTCAAAATATGATAAGCGAGAAATTTATGGGATGGAGGAAGCATTTTTAAAAAAGCGATACTAGAGAGCAATAATTTGTTGGAAGTTAATTTTCTTAAAATATGAATGAAAACAAGGTAAACTCGATTAACAGAGTGCTATATTTTATTCTAAATAAGAGTAAAGTCATAATAATATGGTATCATTAATCGATATGTCGCAAAGAGTGCTATATTTTATTCTAATAAGAGTAAAGTCATAACAATAGAAATAATTACATAAATATGACCAAAATAAAGATGATTTACAAAAATATGATTAGTTACTAAAGTAGTAATGAAATCATAATAATTCATGTTCAAGTTTTGAACTTAAGTTACTACAACACCACGTTGTAGTAATGAATAGTCATATTTATGTTAATAAGTTTTATTTTAGTAATATTCTTATAAAAAAACTCATAATAATATGGTATCATCAAACCACATTACAGTTATGGCATCATCAAACCTAATTACAGTTATGGCATCATCAATCGATATGTCATAAACTCATAATAATATCAATGTCATATTATAAGGAATTCATATTATGTATGACACTATTAATGTCACAATAATATGGTAATATATTTTAGAGCTACTTCAAAAACATAATGTTCCTGTTTAGAGAAATCATCCTATTTTAAATACTTCCTTCATTCTTTCTTAGTTATAATGGTTCACTTTTCACGTGTACCAACACACAAATTTGACTACTAATATTTTTTATTCTTTAATAGTAAAAAAATAAAAAACTTAAATTTTGAAAATTGAAAATGAGGTAAATTTAACAGTAATTTTCAAAAATTTAATTTATAATACATTAATAAATAAAATATAATGTAATTAAAGTAGAATATGTGAATAATACTAAATCACCAATGTGGCAATTAAAAGAGAACAAAGGTTGTATTAAGGATGTTTTTGCTGGTCTGGTCTAGTCTGATCTGGTCTGGTCTGAACTGGTCTGGTCTGGTCTGGTAAGGTCTGGTTTCTTTGTATTTTTATAACTATCCAAGTCTGGTCTGGTCTGGTCTGGTCTGAACTGGTCTGGTCTGGACTGGTCTGGTCTGGTCTGGTCTGGGGCAAATTACAGTCCAAGTAAAAACATCCTAACTCACTCAATTTCTTAGTACCTTCATCCCACTGACATTGAGACATAACGAAGCGATACAAATTAAGAAAATTGAGTTTATATGTGGTTGATATTGAATTGATAAAGTAAAATTAAACTAAAAAATATTTAGAACCACACAAACTTTGTTAAACTTAATATGAGAGGATCTTAGTGGGACATATCGAAAAGGAAAGATGGAACAATGTTAATGGGATGAGAAGAATTTGTTTATAAGGAGTGAATGGTACACCGAGATTGATTGGCTAGTCGAGAAATATCTTGTTGGGAAGGATGCATCTTCTTCTTCTGTTGATTGTGGGGAGGAGTATTATCGTATCTGGGTTGGAAACAACCCGAGACTACGAACATCAATGCCTCGAATCCGGCCGCAATAATTGGCAGAAGGGAAATGCATAATTTTTCTGGTAACGTTAATGAGCTTGAATCCTCTTCCTCCGCATCCTGCATGCCGTAAGCTCAAGAAATGAGCAACAATAAAATTGACTTGAACTATTGAAATTAGTGCAATTTTTATTGAAGGGGATGAATTGGCTAGATCTACTAAATTATGGAGAGGTTACGTATAAGATATACGAAGTATTTAATGTATAATTAAGATAAAGAAAAAATTATATGAAAAATAACTGAATTTTAGTTTATTCAATTGGAAATGTAACTCATACCTTATCTATTTTGACTATACGCAATGTAGTGCACAAAATAAGAAATTACTCATTTGATAAAAATTAAGGTTGACTACTAAGATCGATAATTATGTCAAAAATATTTTCCTTCGTTGTTTATAGTTGCAACAGTTTGTCAATGCACAACTTTAACTGTAATTATATTTAATTGCGTATTTGTAAACGTGATAAAAAGTTAGTATTTTGGAAATTCACATTAATAGGAATTTAATATCATTTATACATAATAATTTGATTATGGGGGTGTTAGGATCTGATTCTTAAAACTGTTTCTGCTCCTTCAGAGAGCAGAAGCAGAAGTTGGAGTGTTTGAATGAAAGTGCAGAAGTGATTTTGGTGTTCTAATTTACTCCTAGAATCGATTTTTTAGAAGCTGGGAGAGCCCAGCTTCTGAAAATTGATTCTGATTCTGTTTCTGCTTTAAAAAAAGAAGCAGCAGAATTAGTTCCAAACACCCCCTATATATGTATTACTACAAATCATGGTGAAAATAAGATTTGTGAATAATGTAAAAATCACATTAATGAACAATGCTTGGTGTACCTCATTTTGGGTACCCCATTTATACACTATCACCTGTGTAGTTCACAAAAGCCCAACACATTAAATTAATTGCCCCATTTTTAACAATTGCTTTTGTGAACTACTCCGTACACAACAAGAGGGGCATAAATGGAATACCCCAATGACACTTTTGGTAGTAAATGTTGGAGTTTTTGCCATTTTTGGTCCCTTGACTATTATGTCAATGACACTTTTGGTACTCGACTTCTAATTGTTCCATTTTTAGTCCTTGACTATTGTGCTAGAGACACTTTTAGTCCCTGACTTCAAGGTTTCCCACATTTAGTCCCTGAGTATTGTCAAATTAACACTTTTAGTCCTTCCATTATAAATTTGACACAGTAAGTGAAGGACTAAAAAAGTAACTATTATAATAGTTGAAGGACCAAATGTGTCACTTTTATGAAAGTTGAAGGACTAAATATGGAAATTTTCAAAGACGGGTACCAGAAGTGTCTCTAGCGCAATAGTCAATGACTAAAAGTGGAAAAATTAAAGTCGAGTACCAAAAATGTCAATGATATAATAGTCGGAGGACTAAAAGTGGAAAAAACTCGTAAATGTTGAAAGGCCCTAAATATCATTTTCACTTTTAACTGCTGCGGTATGTTACATCTACGAAAAAAGTGAATAATGAGCCGAGTCTTCAATTTACCATAGATGAATTATTGGTAGGAATGAAATTCATTATCAAGATTGGCGTTATGTTTTCTCTCTTATACCATGTGCAGCTGCAATGAAAAAATAGTATTTGAGGACCCCATGATATAAAATGATTGTAAATAAATTGATATAATATGCACGTTCGATCCGAAGCCACAGGCAGATGTAATTGTTTGATCAACTAATTGACCGCACTACACTTATACCCACCTTATATTCATTATGTTAGTGAAGAAATTTTTTTATCCGTAAATCCAGTTCACAGACAAAATCTGTGAACGGAACTCACAGAAAAAAAAGAACTTTCACAAACATAGATGGGTATAAAAGTGGGTATAAAAGTGAATACAAACATTACTTTTGTTGTTTTATTCTCTCCACAATTCCAAATTAAATTCCCACATCAATGGACAATGATACATAGTAGTATTCAAAGTGAATACTTGAATAGTTGAATCTATTTAGACATTCTCAAATAAAACTGCTATATATTTATTTTTTCAATTGAAGTAATTATTGCGAAGTAGTATGTACTGGAGTACATACTCCAATACGGAGTATGTATTCTGTATTGAAATACGTATCGCACAAATAGCTAAAATGATTTTCTACGTTAACTTCATCCAATATTGTCAAAAGACTAACTTCAATCATACTTTGTAATTTTTTATTATTACACAATTCAACGTGTGAAATTCAACGTTACGTGTTTGGTGAAAAAGTTGACTACTAAGCCTGATATATTGAAAAACATGGTCCTCAAACGGGCTCTAAAAAGAACTACTTGTATTATTCATTGTCCTTAATTCGTACCGGAATACTAAAAATTAAACTACTCCATATTAAATCTACGGAGTATATATTAGACATATACTAGAAGGTGCGATTGTCAAGAAAAATGAATCTATGTATTTAATATTGAATCAATAAAGTGAGAATAACATAAAAATGATTTAAAACCGGTCAAACATTATCGAATTTGATACGTACTATGAGATAATCTTGACGGGACGGAGTAATATCAATCCAGTCCAATCTATTTAGCCCGATCCAATTCCTCCTCTGATCTGCATGTTGCGTTTGTTGCCCTCCTCCTTCAACGGACAAACTTCCGCCTGCAGCCGACCAGGCGACGGCGAAACTGGCCGGTGAGGCTGAGATGGTCCAAGCTCAACCGCGTGGGGAAGTCTAGGCGATATTTATGAACGGCCGGCTAAGTTTCAGCACAATCAGACCAGTTGGTGATCAGATGGCGCCGACACTTCAATTCCGTTTTCTGATGAAGATATACAAGTACATATGCTATGTGTCTGGCATGTGTTTTTAATGTGTCCATACAAGCGGTCCCACGTATGTACTTAGAGCATCTCCAATGCTATAATGTGCACGGTGCACATGTGGCATGAGTGATAGCCACATAAATATTAGCATATAAATTATCTCTCTCCTTTTTTGAATGATTTTATACAATTTTGGTAAGTTTTTCCCTGCAATGTCAACAACAATGTCAACATCTAGACGGTCTCCTTGACATTGTGGAGGAAAACTTACCATAACTGTATAAAATCATTCAAATAAGGAGAGAAAGAATTTATTTACTAATATTTATGTGGTCATTTCTCATGCCACGTGTGCACCGTGCACATTTTACCATTGGAGATGCTCTTAAAATGCTCTAGTGGCATACTCAAATACTCAATGTCTATTCAGGGACTAGAGCATCAACCTTTTTTTTTTCTTTTGCAAAAAAAAAAAGAGTTAGAAGTACAACATAATAGAGTTAGCCAAGTGTGTACGATTTTTGTGTACACAAAAAATAGTTGTTTAATTTAATACAGATCAATGTGTACACCATTACACCAAAAATAGTTGTTTAATTTAATACAGATCAAAGTAACACTTACCTTCAAATTATTGTGGCACAGTTTATTTTGATATAATTTCACACCCTCTAAACTACTTGCAATCAAACTCTTCCTCTGAATAATCGGAACTTTTATAGGTCCTAAGTTAACTAATATTTGATTTTAGATTATTTTATCAAACTATAATTCCTAATAATATTAAATAATAATTTTAACTCAATTTTAAATAAATACAAGTTCAACTATTTGAATTGGATATATATCTTAAACGATGTTATTTATAAGGGAAAGTTCCCGAAATGAGACTAAAAAAGTTTTGAAAATTCCAAAATAGGACTGTCATGTTTTTATTCCCAAAATAGGACTAATTACTGCCAAAGTTGGAAAATACTGCCATGTTTGAAATCTGGTACTGCCAAAACATGACAGTAATTAGTCCTATTTTGGGAATAAAAACATGGAAGTCCTATTTTGGAATTTCCAAACTTTTTTAGTCCCATTTTGGGTAATATCTCTATTTATAATTATCGTAGCTAGCCCTATTCCTTACAAATTTATAACTCTCAAATAAAAATATTCTTTGTATCATACGGAGTAGTATTTTTCACTCCGTCTCCCTTCTCCTCTCACGTCTACAGGGCCGGTCCTGATATAGGGGCAGGATGGGCGGCTGCCCAGGGCCCACCAGGAAGAAGGGCCCATAAATTATTTAGGAGTAATATATATATTGAGTCTGGTTCACCTCGGGCCCACAAATCTATTTGAGACGCTTTTGGATGAAATTGTTTGATGAAAGTTTGTGAGTATGTTTTTCATTAAGTGTAGATTAGGTAAAAAAAATGTCAAATCAAAATTCAATCGGAAAATCTGTTAAATAAATTATTGAAAAACAGTGTGCTTTATGTATGTTTAAATATCACAATGTTTTTTAATAATTTATTTAACTGACTTCTTAATTGAATTAGAAATTGAAATTTTGGGTAAATAATCTAATCTTTATGAAGAACATGCCCACAAAGTTTTATTAAAAAATTTTGACCAGATCATTTTGTCAAGTGCACCTGACCAAATCATTTCCTTATACTCTAAATCTCTAATACTCCATAAAAGATACCCCTCAATCCTCATATCCGTAGACTGAGCCACAACGACAGAGCTACACACGAAATACAACTAGATGACTTTCTACCTTCCTCACAAAAGCCGAGAATTTAAAATTAAAATTTTCTTTTAACAATGCCTAAAGAATTGTTTTGTATGGCTTATGATACCAAGTATTTTTAGGAACAAAAACATTTACTTGTGTAATGAATTTTATTTTTGACTTGAAGCTTTTGTAATACATTTCTATAATATACGGAATATATAATTAGGGGCCTATTTTTTGTTTTTTGTCCAGGGCCTATAAATTGTCAGGACCGGCCCCTGCACGTCTAACCTTCAAAATCTCCCTTCAAACTCTCAAACATACGCTTTGTCACATACATAAGACAAATATTGGACGTAGGGAATATATAAGATGTAAGTGAGCTATTAACGTTGTTCCTTGAATAACATGTACTACCTCCGTCCCAAATTGATTTGCAAATTTGACTTTTCTTGGTCAAACAGTTTTGTTTTGTTCGCTTAATTAGATGTCAATTTTTAATTATATTCTAATTTGGTGTTTACAACTTTGAAGAGATTTTAATGTAAATTTTAATTATTAAAAATTGAGTTAATTATCCGTAAATAGGGTTGCCTTTTATTATTGGTTGACCAAAAAATGTTGACTTTGCAAAACAAATTGGGATGGAGGGAGTAATTATGTAGGTGAGCTGTCAACGTTAAGTTGTTCCTTCGTGATATCAATTGTATGCCAACTATTCTCACTTGATCCGGTGGATTAGGAGCGTAGTCAGACACTGGGCAAACTGACTCGATACGAAGAATATTTTTAAAGAATTTTTACATGAGATTTTTACCTTAAAATAATTAAACATTTTTAAAATTTGAGATGAATCGGGACTTTAGATCGACGCAAGATCGTCATGAACAAGATGATGCTCTCCAACATAATAGAGCTCTTGTTGGTGTTGCTCTCCAACTTTATAAAATATATCCCCATGCCATGATTGATTTTTGAAGGCACATTTTCAGAGTAAATTTCTTTATGATGTTGGAACAACTGCAGATTTTTTATGTTTTAACTTGGTGTTAGGTTGTATTTTTGTTTTGTTGGCTAATAGTTTTGGGTTTGTGAGGCCTGTTTTTGAGAGTTTTGATTATGTTTAATTGGAGTTTCCTATTGATTGCATTGGGTTTTGATACTGTTTTTGTTGTATTGCAGTAGGATTGAATTTTAATTCTGTTTTGTTGTATTGAAACTGGGAAATGCCCCTGTGAAAATGTACACTGCCTGGCCACCATGGCCGGGTCTGAATGTACTTTTGCTGTCATTTATATACTCCCTCCGTCCCTAATAACTTTGCTAAGTTTGACCGGCACGAGGATTAATAAAGTAAAAATTGTGTGGTTGAGGTTTGTACAGAGTTAATGAGACATCCAAAAAAGGAAAGTTGATAAAGTTATCAGGAACGGAGGGAGTACTATAGATTTAGTTTCATCCAAAAAAAGAACTCTTGTTGGTTGTAGAATTAAACTAACACTATCAATTTTTGTCCAATCAAAAAACAAGAATGAACATCCAACCCACGCGATCGATGTACGTGCATGACATGCTGCTGGGGTATTCAAATTTCAAACCCGTTCCCAAATTTCATATTTGTAGTCTATGTTACTACGGATTTTTTAATTGATTCGAGTTTAATCCAACATAATACCAAAACAAACTTAAACAAATAAAATCGCTTCAGATCAGATCAAAAGAGTTAATTAATCAGAGTATCAGACTAGAACAGATATCCGACCAAATCAAACCACTTCAAATCAAATGAAAATATATTAGACTAAAATAGATTAGACCATATTAGAACAGATCAAATTAGAAAGGGAAAAGGGGCAAATAAGCCCTCGAACTAATAAAAAAAGTGCAAATAAGCCCTTTTGTAGGAGGTTCTGACTGATCATCGTCATTTGGGGAGGTTCTCGGTGGAATTTTTTGATGAATTTTTTTGAACATCTTCTTCATCAAGTCTAGTCTATCCATACCAAATTTCAGCTAAAAATTAAACCGGGAAGGCACTCAAATGATTTTCGAAAATATACTGTGTTGTTTAACTGCGCAGTTATCTTCAAAAATTCATTTGACTGTCTTCCCGATTGAATTTTTAGCTGAAATCCGGTATGACTAAACTAGACTTAGTGAATAAGATGCTCAAGAATTTTCATCAAGAAATTCCACCGGGAACCTCCCCAAATTACGATGTCCAGACGGAACCTCCTATAAAAGGGCTTATTTGCACTTTTTTGATTAGTTCGAGGGCTTATTTGCCCCTTTTCCCAATTAGAAAATTACAGTCCAATTAGACTTAATATTAACATATTCCACTCTATGTAGTATTTGATTCCAGACATATATAACCTGTCCGTGGTTCTAAATTGAACCAAAACCTTTGCTTCCAATTCTAAATATCTCGAAATCGAAACCGGAATTGTATAATACTGCTTCACTTCAGTTCAGAATAGACACAAAACGGTGATTTCACTAAGACAACTACTTCAGCATTTCTTGACAAGCTATTTAGGGTTTTTGCATTTAGAACACTAGTATGACCGGTTTATTTACATGGAAATATCTATCTCTATATAAAAAGATGTGGAAAATCTGGCATTTTCCCGCCCAAACTTAAGGGTCTACTGTGGGTCGGGTCGGGTCACTTAATCAGCGTGAAATGTGAGATGCAACCGGCCATATTGAATTTAATGCTCATTATGTAAGGCTGTAAGACAAGACTTGCACATGGGGTGCAATATAGGTGTCAGACTTTGTTTAATTTGACCGGAATTGAGTTGTCTTCATCAACATTAGAGTACATCAAAGCAATGCATGTTATTATCCATTGGGCAATTTGTTATGCATAATCAGAGTATTTCTAAATTCCAGTATATATACCGTCCAAATTCATCAACTATCAACTAGCTACCACAACAACACAATCCACATAGCAAAGAAATGCCAAAACTAAGGGAGTGTTTGCAACAGCTTCTGCTTTAAAAAAAGCACTTTTGGAGTGATTTGGAAAAAGTGATTATTTGTAAAAGTTGATAGTGTTTGAGAAAAAAGTGATTTTGAAAAGTAAAAGTTGGTAGTGTTTGGTAAAATAAGTGCTTTTGGTGTATAAAAAGTGGAAAAGCACTTTTGACACAAAAGCCGAGAAAAATAAAAAATTGGTAGTGTTTGGTAAATAGGTGCTTTTTTAAGCCAAAAGCTGAGAAATGCTTTTTTTAAAGTGGTTGCAAACCAGCCTTAAGTATTATCCATTGGCCACCACCGCGGTCTACGTGAAGGTTTGGTGGGTGGGTTTTGGTGGTGGTAGTTTTGGCATTTTCTGTCCGGTTGTGTTCATTACTCTCTTCGCCAGCCAACGATGCACCTGGTGGACGCCGGGGATCAGGTGGGGTGCTGCGGTGAAGGTGAGGTTGCATTTTTAGGCTCTCTTATTTTGTTCTCCGTTGGTGCCATGCCGTTGCCGTCGGGGTGTCGACGCCACCTGATGGGGTAAGGGGGTGAGGGGCTTGGATGAGACTGCTGTGGACGATACCTATACGCTACGAGGCTGATGCGGTGCTGAAGGTTAAGAGCGTTGGTCTAGAGTTTACAGGGCTGACCGGGAACCTAGCATAACCTAGCTTGCTTGGACACGGCTGGATCCTAGGATTCGAATGGTGGGCTTCATTGGTTACTGCTGCACTTCTGGGCCACGAGGTCTGAGTCGCGAACTGGAATGCGGAAGGGGGAGGGTGCCTTAAATCGCCCACAAACCTGGAAGCTTGGACTGTTTAGAATTTAAAATATTTGTAGATTTGGACTTTGGAGTGTAACAGGTCAACGAAACATAAAAAATTACGTAGTACCCTATAAATTAGGGAGAATTTGACTTTGCACCCTATGTTTTGGTTGATATTCGACTTTGCACCCCATTTTCAAAATCATTAATATTTGCACCCTATTTCACTATGAGCCCGTTTGGTAGCACGAAAATCGGCTAATTTGGCTGATTCTGTTGAAATTTATGAAGTTCTGGCTGAAGTGGCTGCATTGGCTGTTTCTGCTGATTTAAGAAAAAATTATTTTTAAAATATATTTTATTAATAAAATAAAGAGAAAATTGTACTACCTCCGTTCTCTTTTAGTTGCAACGTTGGACTTTTTACACTATTTACATATTCTACTTTGATTACATTTTATTAATTGATGTATTATAAATTAAATTTTTAAAAAATATTGTTAAATTCTTCTCATTCTAAAATTTCAAAATATGAATTTTTTAAATTTTTTACTAATACGGAATGAAGGATATTAATGGTCAAACTTGTGCGTTGGCAAACGTGAAATGTTGACTGTTGCAATTAAAAAGGAACGGAGGAAGTATGTAAAAATAACTAAAATAGTCATCTATAGTAACTTCAGCCAATACAGCCAGAAAAGTAACTCCAATCTTACTTTTTCTGCTTATTACACAATTCAGCGCGCGAAAGCAAAAAGTTACGTGTTTGGTGAAAAAATTGGCTGATAAGCCTGATAAGCCGAAAAACAGTGTTGCCAAACGACCTCTATATAATCATTTGACTTTGCACCCCACTCGTTCACAATTTTTGAGCTAATGGGGTGCAAATATTAATGATTTTGAATATGAGGTGCAAAGTCTAATATCACCTAAAACATAGGGTGCAAAGTTAAATTTCCCCTATAAATTAAGATATATAGGTGGATTTTGAAAAATAGATTCACTTCCAATTTCCATGTAAATTACGTTTTACAAAAAAATTGAAAATTCTGTTCAAACATTAAAAACACATTTTTTTATAAAGCACACTATTAAGATTCGAAAAAATAATCATCTGTGTGGATTTGACTTGCAATACAAAAGATACTCCGTCATAATATGTTAGAATTTACTTATGTTCATATCACAATATGACAAAATCATATTTTATATCAGTACGCATCTATTTAAAAAAAATCAGTAAGCATCTTTATTTTTTGAAAACAAAGAATGTTGGTATTATGTTAAACTGGTGAACTGTATAACTTAGGTCCAAGCTAAAATTGGATTTAGGATAAACTATGGTTGTAGAACTTATGAGTACTTTATAAGATCAGTCTTATTACAAAAATTCATTTTTAAATTTAACACTACGTATAAATATTTAAACTATGGCCTTAAATATTGACTTTGGTTAGGTTCTCTTGCACATAACCAAGGATTATAAGGATTATAAGAAGGCATTGATGCGTTTTGAAATACAAAAAGATAATAATAGGTATTTATTATTTAAAGATGTTTTTTTATCGTTTATTTAAAGATGTTATGAAATTGATAAGTTAAAATGCTTTGTTGCAAATTATTTAAATATTATAGATATTTCTAAATAGATTAAAAATGAGATAAGGGTCAGTTTGGTCCTCGAAGTTGCAAAAAAGAGGTCAAATAAGTCCTTATAAAGAAGATTCTGCCTGGACGTGCCATTTGAGGTGGCTTCCGGTGGAATTTTTTGATGAATTTTTTTTACCATCTTATTCATTAAGTCTAGTTCACTCATACCAAATTTCAGATAAAAATTCAATCGGGAAGACATTCAAATGCTTTCTTGAAGATAACTGTGCTGTTATAAGCGCAGTTATCTTCAAGAATTCATTTGAATGTCTTCCCGATTGAATTTTTATCTGAAATTTGGTATGAGTGAACTTGACTTAATGAATAAGATGCTCAAAATATTTTATCAAAAAAACCACCGGGAGCCACCTCAAATGGCACGTCCGGACAGAATCTTCTATATAAGGACTCATTTGACCCCTGTTTTGCAACTTCGAGGACCAAACTGACCCTTTACTCGATTAAAAATTAATAAGTTAAGTAGATATTTCATTAAAATATCTATTTATTAATTATTATTACTCCGTATATAATTATACACTATTGAATTGATTGTTATATTTTATTGTTCTTCCATTCTTCCCAAGACCATTGATTCCTTTTAAAGTTTGGGAAAGATAAATGTTAACGGTATATTTAATTTGAAGAAAGCAAAGTGTCGACGATGTGCTACAATTGAAGGTGCAATTATTATTTTATTTAGTGAATTCAGTAATTTGTCATGCCAAAATACGTTTACATTAATAATTACTTATTAGGGAATTGTAATCGTCAAAAAGTACTTATTCCACAATTAACACTTACTCCTTCCGATGCGAGAGGACACAACTAACACTTATTCCACAATTAACACATGTCAATCTTTTTATAAGAGAACACTTACTCCTTATGCAACGATTCCAAAAAAAAAGTCAATGTCAATCTTTGTTGCATGTTGATCTACAACTAAAAAAGTCAGTATTTACTCATAGTAAACTTTACGTTGCAATGAAAGAGTTAACAATAAAAAAGATCTGAAAGTATTGATTGCAATAATTATCAACAAATTGTTCATACTACTAATGTTGGTTACAAAGAAGTGTTTAAAAATTTGTTCTTTTTTCCTTCATTGTAATGTTTGCATTTTGTGTCCTCTTGGAACATTGTAAACATTAACATTTACTTTTTTATTTATTTTATTTATTTATTTTTACTCCAGGTGGGGTCTGGGGGGCTGAAGTAATCAGGGCTGAAACTCACTCCATTGAGTTTCAAACCCTTATGTGCCTAGCGGGTTTCGAACTCGAGACCTCCCACTAGGCACGGTACCCTCACAACCAGTTGGGCTAGAATGCTTGGTTACATTAATATTTACTAAATGTTCTTAGCTATTTAATACATAGGGAGTAGTATATATTATATAGCTATAGCTATGTTCTCTTTTCACTCTTTTAGGGATCTTTTCACTGTTTTATAAATTATAATTTTATCAATCTTGAAAAATATTGCATTAATGTAAAAAATTGACATGATTTGATTATATTTTGTTCCGTGCATCGCACGGGTGAGAATCTAATATTGTTTAAAAAGTGTGTTTTGACAAAATATAGTTAAAAAACAGGCTCGGTTTTTTACTGTGGATGCACATAGTGATACTATTTCTTCATACATGTCTCTGTTACCAATTACTACGTAATTGCTATTCACTCTTGTTCATAAATAATGTCATTAGAATAACTCAATTGGTTTTTGTTAGCTAGTGTGCTTGTAATTTTCAAACAAATACTCCCTTCATTCCGCTATGATTGTCTCATTTTACCTTTTCGGTCCGTCCCACTAAGTTGTCTCATACCTTATTTGGTAAAGTTTGTGTGGTTCTAAATCATTTCTACTTTATTTTTACTTTATCAATTCAGTATCAACCACATAAACCCACTTTTATTAATAACCGTGCCACATTTTCTTGTCCCAAACTTAGGGGGACGGAAGTAATATCTTACTATCGTAGCATTATACGGAGTATTTCTTTATTCTGTGAAAGCTAATTTGTCGACATGACCTACTAGCGTCTAGCGTGGAGGAAAGAAAGTTGTTAGAAATGCGGAAAATTCATGAAAGAGAAGTAAAAACAACACAAAATTCAATAAGAGGCTTACATTTCGTCATTTTGTATCGCCAAGACAACTAATACAAAATAGGTGATTATATCTCGCCTATTTCCTCTTATGCAAACAAAACATTATTAATAACCAAATTGTTTTGGTATTATGTAATTTGGTACAGTCTTGCCCATCAATTTGGTATTATGTGTGCGCGCACACAGACGCAAATTGCTATACTTTATGTACCTCTGGAGTAATTTTAAATATCTAATTAAAGCTATGTTAACTATTACTCCATATAAAAGGTAAGACAAAACATAAATTTAGTCAAAATGGGCCCAGCAACCCAATTTGTAATGAAGAGAAGATTTCTTTTTCTACAGTTATGTTTCTGATGTCATTAATGTCTTTAACTTCTGCAGGCAGAGTTGAACAGGATTTACGATGCACTTATTTCCATTAGGGAAGAAATTTCTCAGATTGAGAAAGGGGAGTTTGATCTTGGCAATGATGTTCTGAAGATGAAATGATCTATTTTCTGCAGTATCGAGCTTCATCTAAATAGAAGCCTAGAAGTTTTCGCACTATTCTGTCTTTTGATTTCTTTCATTTAGAAAGAGTTGATGCATAAGACTTCTTTAACTACAGAATACTCCCCATTGGCCGTATCAATGGAAATATTGCTTAAACATTGTCATATTTAAATTATTTAAACAAGGTGATTGATATTATTATTACATCATCAACTTTTAACGCAGAGGTATAGTACTTGAAAAACCAAATTAACCCTTTTCCCAAATGATCACGTATTTCCTTATTCAAGCCTTGTATGCCAAGGAAAAGGAAACCTGTGGATCTTCACGCTCCATATTTTGGAGCTTTCCAAAGCTTAAATGCCAATTCGTGTAGGAATCTGTCAACTGGAATCACGAGATTTCCACCCTCCTGTGTAGCATCCACAACAACAAATCATTTATGTAACTAGTGACTACTAATGATAAGTTCAGTTTTTCTTTTTACACTCAAGTCAGCAAAACTAAAAGTTAAGCGAAGTAAAAAAGAAAAAAAAAAACACCTCTTTAATATCTTCAAATGAAAATGCTCCAACCGCATCCTTCCTAGTTACACCGTCTTGCCATTGAGCAACTAACATCGGACAATGATGCCTATGAACGGCACATTATATATAAAAACATTCCACACCGGATGTCAAAAGGTCATTTAATTGCACACACAAGGGGGTAGGTGTTACGCACCTAACATTCTCACGCGTTTTTCCACCTTTCATTGTATAACTTTGGCGTGGGAAAAGCATGTGAAGCTGGGAATTACTCTCATTTCTAGTGTTGTTACAAAAAGAAAACTTGGAATCTTCCTTGTATGAAACGGCCCCAAAGCTCAATACAACAGATAGGTGCAACCGGGACCCAACTTCAGTCCCGGGTTGGGCCATCCTGGTTAACAACTCACCTACCAGGCCATTGATATCTTCTACGCTTTCAACATGAAGAATAACTAAATCAAATCGGTTCATCTCTGAAACCTTCCCATTTTGAAGCCCTAGCAATTCCAAGGCCGATACAAGTGGTTTGACTTCCAGGCTATTGCAGTGTAGTAAACCATCTGCCCCGACTTCCAGGCTATTGCAGTGTAGTAAACCATCTGCCCCAAACGTGGTCACGCCAAGCCGGTCGCAGAACACCTTCAGTATTGGATTGTCAGACACAATAGCTGCTTTCATCCCCATGAACCTAGATCCAAAAAGATTGGATTTAGAGAGCAATAACAACTAAAATCTTAAACTAATAGATGTACCACATTTAAAGTACACTTAGAAATTCTTTGTAATAAATCACCACACTTTAGTTCCTCTACATCAACCTCTGTTTTTTTCTTAAAAATGGTGTAGCTCATAGAGCTTCAGTTAAGCTAAACTGAGCTCACCATTCCGCAACGTACATGTCTCGCTCTCTAGAAAAAACCATTTAGACCAATAGGAAATGAACGTTTTTCAAAAATTGAGGCCAGACTTCGCAGACCAGACTCTTATGGCCATGAACGTTTTTCAAAAATTGAGGTTGACAGAGTTGAGCTGAAAAAACAATGTAAATTAGTGATGAATAACAAGAAAGAATTACAAGAACCTAAAGTAAAAATATGAGGTATATTTGCATGGATGCAAAAGAAGATTCAAATGATCAAATCATATAGAGTATAACCTTAAGTGAAAATAGCATCTTCCATCCCATGAACCTAAATCCAGAAATCGAAGGAATTGGACATAGTAATTGTTGTCAACTAAAAGCTTAAGATTCTATGCACTACACATTTAATATTTATAGTATTATATCAAACTGCAACACGCACAAAGAGTGAGAATTGGATAAAGTTTACCTTTGAGATATAGTCGGCGTCAGAGGCGTGTTCTGAGATCTCATTTCAGAAATATCTTCTTCATTCTAAAAGCCAAAAACAAAAAGCTTTAATACCATCTATCTATTCATCACACCAAAAGAATGAAAACAAAACTTCTTAGTTTTAAGTAAGCATTACAAATAGAACAAATGCATCTCACCATTTTATTATAAGCTTCCCTTGAATCAAGTAGCTCTGCAAATTCTCTGACTATTCTTGCATCCTCATTTTCTACAAACTAATATCCATGTTAGTTTCAGCATCATTACACAACACAAAGAAACACAGAAACAACTTAGAGTTTCATCTTAAAGGGTCAATCTTACAAGAGAACTTGCCCAAAAGGGCCAAAACCTTATATGTTAGTAATGTATTTTTACTTCATATTTATTCATTGTGGGATGATTTAACATTCCACCCTCAATCCCTCGAACAGAAAAAAAAGAAGTGCTGCTAAGTGCCAACCCAAAAACGGTCTTATTTGAGTTATTTCAAATTTTCAACACTTTGACCTTCATTGCGTTGGAGATTTATATACCTCAATGGCTCAAGCAATAATAAGAACCTACATTCACTCTCAACACAGCTCAAGGAGTGTTTGAGCTTTATATACCTCAATAGCTTCTAAGTTGAGTTTTTCTGATTAACTTTTAGCTAAAGCAGGAAATAGGTAGGGCGTTTAAACTCAGTTTGTCTATAATACTACAGCCATTTTTTTCAAAATGCTCTACTAACTTTTACCATGCACTTTCTCTATAATCTCTAAAACAAATCACTTTTACTGACACATGCAAATTGAGCCTTACTTTACAAACCTTTTTGACAAAAAAACAAACAAAATAGCGAGACTAATTGTGTAATCTGGTACGAATGAAAACTATGAATATTAGAGAAAACACAAAGAAATACTTGGGGGCAAACCTGAAGGAGGCGAGTCAGGGAGAGACAAGAAGCCAGAGCAGGCCCGAGAAGCGAGAGAATGGAGATGGGTATGAGATGGCAATACGGATCGCGCCAGTCCATCACCATACAGCACTAGACCTCTGCTAGGTTTGTCTGCCATTCCTTTCTGACTTTGTCCTCCTCTCTGTTTTTATTGTACGCCTTGTGTAAATAACTTATATATCACCACTGGTACAAGAAGTACAACAAGCAAAAACAGAGCCTAAATCAGTGGGAAATCAAAGTAAAATACATTCTATGGAAAAATAAATAAAATGAGAGAAGCCATGACTTTTGTGGCAAAATTGCCCCCAAAAATGAAAACACTCACCCAGTTGAAATAATATGAAGTACTCGAAGCATTGAAATTATCACATCAATCAATTCAAAGAAAATCAAAATCAAAGTACCCTTGGACCATTTGAAGTTCCTTGGTTTTACAAAAATTGAGAGAACCCCTCTAGGTGTTTTGGGATTCAACTAACAAAGTTGAGAGCAGATGGTACGGTTTGATAATAAAAACTTTGGTTGAGAAATGAAAGGAAAGGAGACCTAGGGGAGAGGTTCATCGTTTGCCTTGACAAATAACCAACTGATGACCGAATACTGACTAATATTTTTTACTCAAATAATGGACTGATAACATCACTATAACCGATTTTAAATTGCAGTTCAGTTTTGGTCGGTAACTGCATAACCCAGCTTAACTGGGCATATAGATTTTAGAAGTATATTTTTCCAGAATCTGAAAGCTTTATATAAACACCAGCAAATAAAACAATTGGTTTCAAAATGGATTTTAAACATTTTTTTTAAACATATGTACAAGCAGTTATTGAAGTATAAGAATGACCAAATCTGCGGCCTCATATTTAAATCCTAATACAGATGTCATCTGTCATTAGTTTTACTTATTTAGCAAAAAAACACAATATAATATAAAAACTACAAAATTTTAAGTTGTGAGCCTTTCAATGTTACACCATATTACATACGCATGCATCAAAACATTTGTCTCTAGCCAGTCTGGCAATAAAATAAAAACATATGCCTCTTGCCAATTTGGCAATAAAATCAAAACATATGCCTCTTGCCAAAACATACTTACTAGAGATGGTTCAGTTCAGCACGATATACCATTTTTTCTCATACTGAATATCGTACCGAATTTTCGGTATAAGAAAATCTTATACCTGTACTGTACCGAATGTCTCAGTATACAGAAGTTACGTATACAGGAATTTTGGTATGACACTACACTCATACCGTTTCATACCGAATTTTAGGTAGTACAATTTTAGGTAAAGTCAAATCCAAGTATGGTATGGTATAATGCCATGCCATACAGAAAAAAATTCTGATCTACAAAAAATTTCAATATATTACTGTTATTCCATAATCACTCTATATATAAACTTTAAATACATAATATTCAAAAACTAAACGAGATCTATTATACCATATACGAAGTATTATTCACTCAACACAACACATTAAAAACAGTACAATCACCCAACAATGTGCAAATAATATAGCTCAGTCGTTAAAAGCCAAACAAAACTCAAATAAAAGAAATTCCTAAACTAAGCTTCAAACCTGCTGCCTGCATATACAAAGTAGAACTATATTATTATTGATCTATAACTAAAGCTCCACCTTTAAAAAACAGAAAGAAAACAAATACTATCGTATAACAAAAGCTATTCTCTGAGTCCAAAACAGAAGCTGCACTAAAAAAAGATAGAAGCTGCAAAATAGAAGCATCCAAACAATTATTTGGAGCAGATTGAGTTACTAAACAATCAGTTTTTCCCAATTTGATTTGTGCCATAAATCTCTTAAGCGCCTGTAGTCTAAACAATCAGTAAGATAGGGTTTGAACAAGAAGTGTGTTTTATTGAAATTAAGCTATGCCTTCAGTATTAATGGTATACTGCAGTGTAGCCAAAAGCGTGTGTGTGGGCGCTTAAGGGCACACCATGTGAGGCGCAATATAAGCGCAAGAAGCGCAGAAGCACATGCATGATTCACCTGGACTGATAAAGGGTTCTGAAGTTATTTTTTAAAAATAAGATTTGGGTCTATTTTAAATAAACCCATATCAATCAATAATAAGATACACAAATACTGTTGGTATACATATTATTTACACCCCCCTAGTTGCCTGTCTATAGAGGCAATTCGTTCAGACAGATTTGTGTACAAATTTGTACACAGTGTACAAAATATGTGTACACCAAGAATGGTTCAATAAGATATATCCCATCCATCATCATATAAATTATAATTAGATCTTGCAAGTAGAAGTACCTCAAGTACTATCACTTATTTTCAGGAAACGTTTGTATGAATTTTTAGGCGAATTTAGCTATAGTAAACATAGGGAATAAAACTGGGGGATGAGGAGATGTCTCCCTTTTGCGACCAAAATCTCCAGTAATATCAAATTCCAGCAAGTTTGGGTGTAAATTGCCTTATAGCAACATTAGTTCAGCCGTTCATCATCAGTTTTCGGTAGAGGAAGAAATTGAGGGGTTTGATAGTGTTCTTCGGTGTACGGTTTAACTCAACAAAGTTAGCACTTATTCACTTCAACAAATAAGTAAGCTTTTAACTGAATAAACAATTAACCATTTAACCCCAGACAATTAACCACTTGTTCTCAATATTTCAAATCATTCAAATCACAAGATTAAAATGTAAGAATTTACCGAGTGGAATAAGATAAAAAATGATCAGAAAGCTATGAACAAAAGAATGAGTGTGTATTTAGGATTTCGGAAGAGATAAACCAGACATTTACCGTTAATTTGGCGGAAAGAGATTCAACACGGTTGATTCATTCAGACACTTTAGCGGCTGAAGAAGGCCTGAAGGGCGTGAATTCGTGGAGAAGTTTGTGACTTTGTGCCAGGAATGGATTAAAGCCAGAAAATGGAGAAGTCAATAAAGAAGTGAGAACTGAGGAGAATCGACTGATTCGGATGAAGCGTGGGGGTTACATTTTGGAATATTATTACTTCGTATGAGTTTTCGTTGATGGACTTGAGGGGTAGGGTCGGACTAGTATACACCGGTTCTCATTTTTTTATTCTAAAGGGGAAGAAGACTTCAGTTTCATTGAAACCCAACATAAACTTGAGCATTTGTGGCCGAAACAAATCCCCCGACGATTGGGAAAAAAGAAGAAAAACAGGACCGTTGATTTCCATTTAATTGTACGAACAAACGAAGGAAAAAAAAAGGCCAAAAAAAGCAAAAAAAGGTAAGAAAAAGGAGTGAAAGGATTTGTTGAAGCAATTACTTACGTTTATTTCTTCTCCGATGCGGCTATCTCGATTCTGGACCACCTATCGCCTCTTTCTTCTCTCTGTTTATTTCTTCTTTTTTGTTCTCTCGTTTTTTCCCCTGCTTTTGCGACACAAGCTATTCCGTCGGATCATCAGCAACCGGAGTAGGAGCAGAAAAGAGAAAAGTGGAAGGGTAGTATTGGTATTTTACAAAAAATATTCCTTACGTTAAGAATTGGGGCCGTCAATAGCAATATAAAAGGATGCAAACAGAATTCCCTTTTTAGAGCCCGTTTGGTAGCACGAAAATCGGCTGTTTTGGTTGATTCTGCTGAAATTTTTGAAGTTGTGGCTGAGGTAGATGTATTGGCTGATTCTGCTGATATAAGAAACAATTATTTTTAAAATATATTTTATTAATAAAATAAAGAAAAAATTATATGTAAAATAGCTAAAATGATCATGTACAGTAACTTCAGCCAAAACAATCAGAAAAGTAACTCCAACATTACTTTTTCTACTTATTACACAACTCAGCACGCGAAAGTAAAAGCTACGTTTTTGGTGAAAAAGTTGGTTGGTAAGCCTGATAAGCCGAAAAACAGTGCTACCAAACAGCTTCTTAATGTGTCATTGGAGAATGTTTCATTTCTAACATGAAACATTTTTTTGTTTAAATAATTTTGTCTTTCATATTTTTTCATTTGGCTCAACAACGATTGATGAATATTCCTTATTTGATTTGAAATATAATAACTTGATCTATAAACATGTAACTCTATTAGTACTTCTTAATTAATTTCTATAAACATGTAATTCTATTAGTACTTCTTAATTAATCAAAGTTTGTTACATTTTCTTATTTGAGATGTTTCTAAAAGTTTGCTACACTTTCTTTTTTTGGGAATCTTTTCCTTTAGAGATACTCAATTACTCCTTCTTTTTCCACTATTTATCTTCCTTTTCCTACTTCACTTTCTCTCCTACTTTTTCTATACTATTCATTACCCCTAATATTTCCCTCTTGAATATTGTGTCAACCCCTAGTGTAGAGATCTTTTAAATACGAAGGTAGTATGTAGCACGTAGTATTTATTTCGTCCACATCATCATTTCATGTTTGCTTTATGACACTTTGAGAGAGTACGCAGCAAAAAAAAGTAGAAAACTATACAGAAATTACCTTAAATAGGACTAAACGGAAACTTAATTGCACAAATAGAACTAAGCATTAATTTTCTACCCTAAATACTCCTAATCTAACTAATTAATTGCCCCTAGTTACCTTGGGCAACCAGGGCAGTCCTTTGGTGGTGGGAAAGTATGGCCGAGTGCGGAGCTCCGGCAAGACTCCCGAATTTAAACTGGAAGAAAACGTTATCTGAAAATTTTGACCGGATTCCGCCATTCCGGCAACGGCAGCAGGCAGGCAGGGCAGCTAGGCGATGGCTGGTGGCCGGCGTCAGTGGCCGTAGGCCGGCATCAGTGGTCGGAGGTCGACGGCAATGGTCGGAGGCCGACGGCAATGGTCAGAGGCCTATGTTGGCGGCCGACGATCGGTGGTGGTGGTTGGGCATATTTGTCCAAGCACACATGATTAATCTTATTTAGGGAATTAAAAACAAAGTAGTCATATTTGTGATTTTAAGCATGTTTTAGTCCAATTTAGGTAATTAACTCAAAAATATACTCCGTACATAATAAGATAGACATGAAATAAGGCAGAGCAAAGAAAAATTATCTTACTGCTATGAGTGTACATTCAATAGTCAATTATTTTCTAATAAGAAATATAATCCCAATATTAAACCGGGTGAGATGGGAGTTATATGATTCCAAGAAAGGCGATGAGACAAGGCAATGGGTCTCATCCGAGACATCCACCAGTGCAAAAACTCGTATTAAACATGTTTATAATATATGACATATATCAACTATATAACTCTATTAGTCTCATTTAAACTACTACTTATCTAAGCTACATTCAATTTGAGTGTTGTTTAAAAATGATCTCCCATTTTTATTCTCTATGAAGTTGAATTTCGACACCCTGAGTCATTTTTCTGGCTTCGCCCTTGCATGTAATAGTTATATGGAAAATTGTTCAAAATATGACTAAAAACGATTCTGTATTTTAAAATAAAATCGTTATGTTTTTATTCACTAAATAGGAGTAATTACTGTTATGTTTTGACAGTACTAGATTCTAAACATGACATTATTTTCAAAGTTTGACACTAATTACTCCTATTTAGGAATAAAAACATCATATTCCTATTTAAAAATCTCAAATGTTTTTACTTCTATTTCGAAAATTTTCCGTAATTATATTGATATACTTTAATTAATTATTAGGAGAATGCTATGGTTACTCCTAAAAAATACGGAGTAAAAACTAAAGGCATTGCACATGTCATCCATGTTTGAGAGTACACGGTAAAACTGGTAGAAAATGTTCCTTGCTTGCCACTTTTTTTATATTTTGCTTCAAATGTGATCTTTCATTTCCTCCTTCCTGCCTACAAATCACTATATGCTTTGTCCATTGTCACCTTCTTACTTTTTCATCACCCGTTCAAACTAGACCTTCCACGGTGACCAGCCGGCCAATACATTTCCTTCTTTTTTCACCAATTCATTGATTTCTTCTACACATACATTTAATCTAATTTTGCTATAGTTGCACAATATTACTGATCGGATCGACGAGAATATATGGAGGAAACAGAGGGTCGATCTTTTGAGGATACTCCGACGTGGGTTGTCGCCGTCGTGTGCTCCACCATCATCCTCATTTCCCTACTAGCGGAGCGTGGCCTCCATAAACTTGGATTGGTATGCTATATATATAGATAGTATATAATATCATATTTTGATATTAATGTAATAATATGCTAGTATTGCCTAATCATGACATAAATTATTCGTATTTAGGAAAAACATATTGTACTCTTGTTTAGGAAACAACATTTTTATGCTTATTTAAGAGAATTTTCTTTTCATATATTCTACTCCTTACGCACGCATTTTCAATCTGCAAATGGAACTATTAGGAGTAATAATACTTCCAATTTTCTTTTTTGGATTGTTCTAAAAAAATCTTCTTACTTACCACTTTTGGACAATTTGCGTGGTTTACTTTCATTTTACTCTTTTCTTACACAACTACAATCGTGTATTTCCACTTTACTCTCACATCCTTAATATGTGAATCAAGTGAATGTGGGAAGAATTTTATGGGACAGATGGAGTAGTAGTAGTAGTAGTAGTAATAATAATAATAATAATAATAATAATAATAATAATAATATTAATAATAATAATAATAATAATAATAATAATAATAATAATAATAATAATAATAATAATAATAATAATAATAATAATAATAATAATAATAATAATAATAATAATAATAATAATAATAATAATAATAATAATAATAATAATAATAATAATAATAATAATAATAATAATAATAATAATAATAATAATAATAATAATAATAATAATAATAATAATAATAATAATAATAATAATAATAATAATAATAATAATAATAATAATAATAATAATAATAATAATAATAATAATAATAATAATAATAATAATAATAATAATAATAATAATAATAATAATAATAATAATAATAATAATAATAATAATAATAATAATAATAATAATAATAATAATAATAATAATAATAATAATAATAATAATAATAATAATAATAAGAATGATAATAGTAACTAAAAGAGAAAATTAGTAAAAGTTACTCCGTGAGAAATAAGAATATATAATTAGGATCAAATGAAAATAATGATTAACGTGACAACATGAGAACTTCATTTTTAAGCAAATGTGATGCACTATATCGCTTATACTTCACGCATTTTCGTGTTGATGAAATATTTATGAATTCGCCACCACATTTATTTGACATTTACATATTTTGATCAAAGTTTAAAAAGTGCAATAAATGAGTCTTACAGTGAACCAGATTGTGTTAAAAATGCATGGACATTCTCACGTTAAACATGGTTCTTGGAACCGCTCCCAGAACATTTATGTATCAAATTATCAATGTATATGTAAGCTCTGTTCTAAAAATCGTTCTAGGCGTCCGACTAGTCCCCGCCTAGGCGCTAGGCGGTGGCCGGGCGCCCCGATTTTCGTCTAGGCGCTCCGACTAATTGATTTTCTGTCTAGGTGAATTAGTCGGCCACCTATGGCGCCTAGTTGCCCGCCTAGACCGCCTAATCGGCCATCTAGATTTGCCGAACATTAGCCATTGATTTAAAGAAATGAAGTTGAAAATTAAAATAAAACTATACGAGTATATGTTTGTCTATATACCTATATTTATCATTATTTATATTTATAATATAATGAATTTAAGTGATTAGTTATCATTAACCGCATATGATTAAATGTTATAATTCTATCATTCATATTTCTTAATGTATATGTATATGTATATATGTATTTTATAGACAAAAATACAATATTACTTATCATATTTATGCAAAAATAAAGATAAAAATGCAATTTCTATGTCTCCGACTAGTCCCCGACTAGACGCCCGCCTAGCCGCCTAGGCGCTGGGCTGGCGCCCGATTAGCGCCTAACGCCTTTTAGAACATCGTATGTAAGTATGTGTATGTATTCGAATCTGACAAGTTGAAGTATTAAATAAATATGGTTGTTTGATATTTTGTTTATTTATAAATATCAATATGATTTTATTATTATGAGATAATATAATCTTGTTACAAAATATCAATTCAATATGATTATATCATTATGGGTATACACACATTGATACCAATGAGTCATAAATTTTTATGATACCAACGTGTCAAAA